TATATATATATATATATATATATGGAGGGGTTTAACCTGTAGGTGGAAGCTTTGCATTAGCAGTTCTAATGCTGCAGTAATATCAAGTGAAATGGGAGTCAATGGCAGAAAATATTTCCCATGGTTACAACAAGCATCAGACATCTTAGATGCAGATTGTGTTTACAGTAATCTGTGTTTTACTGAATAAATAGTTAAAGTGCTGATTCGGGCCGGGCAATATGGCCAAAATCTTATTTCATGTTATAGATATATTTAATGTGTGGCGTGTTTTCTGGTAATTCAATAAATATATAGCATATCTGAAATAACCACATGGTTTTGTATATCGACATATGTGAAAAGTATTTTTTCATTTGATTAAGAATTTAGAAATGTGAGTTAGTATGTGCTTGTTATTTTAAAGTTAGACCATATAACGGTGTAACATGATATCTCCATATATGATTTCATCACAATATGATTCCAGTGAAATACGACGCATTATCATTGTGAATTAATAGCCCTAGTGTTGAGCTGCTGTTTTATGATGGGCAGCGTTGGCTCTGAGGGAATGTAGAATAACGTGCTTTTGCCACAGTAGCATCAAATATGGTGCAGTGGCCTTCATTGGTGGATTTAAGCTTTTATGATAAAACAAGATTTCCCAGTCGCATCTACAACTAGGATGAAAGCCCAAAGATGGTATATAAGGCAACTTCCCTTTGACACAAATTCAGCTTAAACAAACACAGTTTTTTTGTTTCCGGCTGCATAAAAGCATCTCTAGAACTCTCTCTGGATTTGTTAAAAGAGCAAATAATCATTGAGAAAAAAGGTATCCCAAGATTGAGCCTTGGCCGGCTGAGAGGAAGACCTCGCCTGAGTAGCCTTGGATGAAGAGTGCTTGCAGTCAAAGTTTGACTTTCTGTCATGTTTTATGTTTCCCGCAGCAGTAACGTAGATTTGTTTGGAATGTGCTGTAGAGCAGGATAGTTAGGAGGAACAGCAATAGGAACCATTGATGAACATGTTACAGAACAAAAAGCAAATCACCAAAAGTAAATGTTTCAGCCATCCAAAACCTCAAATATAAACATCAGGGATTGGTGTCAGTCCCTCATAATCAAAGAGCCGAGGGTCTTCTTAACACTGCTGCCATTTTGCAGCTATCTATCTTCCAAACATATAACAAGACAAAAGTATCATGAGAAGAGAGAATACGGAGAAACCTCCTGGTTGTTCTGCTCTTCTTTTTCTTCATCATCTCCTGCTACAGATAAACGTTAATGCCCAGCTACGAGTAAATGCACAATCACAACACAAGTACAATTAAGGACACGTGTCAAACCATGAACTGGGGTAGAATTATACACACATGTTGGTTGAGCTTACAATGTATTAGTTCCTCTCAAAGATAAGGGTGGACACTGGCATCGCAGTGGGTCAGGTATAATATACAACCCTTTAGTTCACTGCAGATGTTTAGAGGTCTGTACGCTGGTTGTATAACATGTGAAGCATCATCATCATCATCATCAGTTGCATCTCTCTGAGGTGAGGGGGAAATGAATCACACAGTAGCTTCAGTTGTTTAAACGACTGATTGATGGTGTGAGTCACCAACAACAGCAGGGTCAGTGCTTCCGTTCCCACCGGGGTTGGTCGAGGTGTCAAGTCCTTGAGATACATTTGTAAAAATCAGTTAAGTCTAGATTCCATATTCCTGTGCAATAACAACTGAGAACAGTCAGGTATCGACAACACGCATTTCAGTGTCTCAGCATGAAGAGCTGTGATTCCATTAAAGCAGCGACAAACGAATAAAAAAGAGGAAAAATGGCTCATAATTTGTGTTTGGATAAAAGTATTAAGGAGAAGCTAATGAGAGGAGACTTTGAGCCATGCAGCAATGCAGAAATGGTCATTTGATTGAGTTTGTCCAATGATGGTGGAAGCTTTTGCTCTGTCTGCTCTGTCTTTGCATTGGTGTTCATTCAAACACTTAAAGCAACTTATGTTATTTAAGAAAAACTCCTGACAAGCGACCTCTTGTGTCTCTCTGACAGGACAGTGGTCCTTCCACTGTGGGCCGGTGTTATGAGCGCTGTGAAGTGCAGCTAGCTGATGGGTCCCACTCACAGCTTCCATTCACATGATGAAGTATTTATTTGTATAAGTATCATGTTTAAAGGATACCCAGCACTAGTAATTTGTCACGGTTTTGAAGGATTTACTGGAATTAAGGGTTAAGTATGAAACAAATGAGTTCATATTGTCAAACTGCATCTAAAGACAAAAGTGACTTTGTCCCTGAATGGCCACAAATGTCACCACAGCCCCCTTTAGATGCATCACGCTGCCTTAAAGATCTCAACACAATTAATTCTACAAATGGAGATAAAGGAACACACTTCAATACAGTCTCTCCTCTGAGGCGTTCATGGTGTTGCACACCAAAAAAAGAAGCTGTTTTGTTTTTCTGACAAGCAGACATTTTGGAGATCCTAGCCTTCCAGCCAACAGCAGTAGTACATTTCAGTACAGTGTTTGTATCGTGCACAGTTAGGGTCGATTCCCCCTCCGGCCAAAGCTAAATGTGACCTCAAACTGAAATTATACAACATCCAAACCGAGTGAAGGTGAATGAATGTGTGTGACTGGGCTTTTCGTGAATACTGCTCTGAACATGCACAGGCATGTAGGATGTGTCACACTCCACACTGGCTGTCTGCCAGCCGTGGTGCATGTGTGTGACGTACACTATGTGTGTGTGTGTGTGTGTGTATGTGTGTGTGTGGTACAAGGACTTTCCTCCGTTTTTGGGCCAAGGTCTTTCCCTGTGAGCTCCCTTTCCTTTTCTTCTCCCTTCCTCTGTTATTCCCCCGCTGTATCTCTGCTTATCCCTCCATCTATTTGATCTACCTCTCCTCAGCACATTAACAGTCTCTTGCAGGCCTTCCCTGCTTTTCTCCACACTGTGTGTGTGTGTGTGTGTGTTTTCTTACTCGCCGCATAAGCTAATTATCTTTATCAGTCCAGCAGTCGTTCTACAGACTATAGGACGAGGGTTTGTTTCCCAAAGCTTTCATCGTCTTAAGTAGCGCTTTGAGAAATGAGAGTCTTCTTGCGACTTACGGAGACGTGAACGTGGTTCATCATCGTTCCAAAGGAACGTCTGGAGAATATTGATGCTATTTTAAAAACACAATTTGTTTTTGGCAATTTAGGAACAAATGTTTCTTTGTATTTTGTGTATGTTATTGGACAGTGCTTACCTCCTCCTTCACTCTTCTTTTCTCTGCTTGTCCTTTTTCTCCTCTGTTTCTTTCTCTCTCTCCTCATTCCTCCCTAACTCTATTATTACTTTGCATAATCCTTTTGAGCAGTTCTTATGTCTCATCGCCTCCACCATTCCACCCCTTCCTCCTGTCCTTATTCCCTTTTGCAAATTAATCTGGAGTTCTTTCATCCCATAGATGTATCTGACCTTCTACCCCTCCTTATTCCTTCTTCTTTTATGTCTCTGTTTCCCTCTCTATTTGCTCCCTCCGTCCTTCCTTTCATTGTCTTCTCCTTTATGACTCCTCCTGTGCTCTTCATTGCGTCTTCCATTCTTCCCATCTTTAAATATCCATCTCTCCTCCTGCCAGTTGGCACCAGCCTCTCACTGCTGACAGAGGGACATATTGACTTCTCTACAGAAAACAAGCTCTCCAGTGCTAGCAGGCTAACCTGAGAACGCCATCTGTGGAGCCCCGCCCGCCACCATGGGACATGTAGTTTCCTGGTGCTCAGCAGTTGCTTTGCCCTGCTTCATATTGACCCGTCGTTGCTGCGGAGTCTTTCATCGCTGTTTCATCCGATTCCATTTTTTTTATTATTTGGGAGCCAATATTTCAATCCCCTCAGGGTGCCTGTTATAGTAAGTTTCCTAGAAGTAATAAGAGATGTTTTTAGATGGGATTCATATTGGTGTCAGGGTTTGTGATGTAGGAAAACAGTACTGGAAATATATTAGAGATACTGAGGTCATTGGTCCAAATTCACTGAGCACAACCTAACAAACTTAAAAAGAATTTGACCAGCGATCAAAACCTAATTAAAAGAGTATTTAATCAACTAATTTAAAAGCTCAGTTGTGTTAATGTTAATGATCTAAATGCCGTTTTAAAGCTTTCTCCACATTGCCAGCTATGTATTTCTGGTGTTGAATAATAAAGCAGCCTTTTAAACTATTTCACTGAAAGGAACGTTAAAGCCAGTAAAAACCTGGCTTTGATTCCTAAGAATCTCTTTATATCATTAACTGTCCATGATGAAATAAGCAATCGTTC